ACTCCTGAAGTTTCTGCTTTGCAATTGTTGATATTTAAGAAAGGAGTAAGGAAAGAGACTTGGAAGACCATTTACTTGAACCCGCTACGTTTTTTTTTTTGTAATTAACAATTTTATGACAGGGCAATATAAATTAATGGCAGTTCAAGGAAAGAACATTGGTGTCTCTTCAAGATTCAAAAAAGTTAATAATGATGAGTTGTACATGTACCGCCACTAGCATCATTGAGTGATTGATTGACAGGATATCGTTTAAATGCCATCAAATTCTTCCAAAAAACAGGGAATGTTGTATTCTCTTCCGAATATGTACCAGATAATGATCCAAAACAATCTGGTACAACCAACGTGAGTTTGATTTTAGCGGTGCTTCGCGAATTTATTACCCGCGGATTTGGGGCGTGTTGGCAATTCAAGACGAAGACTGAAAGCAATTAGATAAAAACAACTAATATAAGAAGACGAAATAGGGTGGTCTACAGAGCGGGATGTAGCTTGATTGGGAACAGACGGCTGAGTTTCCAGAGTGATTGTGCAAATATAGTATTTTAATGTATTAGGCGACTGTATTTCTTTATGGGCATATAGGTCTCATATATCCATGCCAAACACCTTAGCTAAGACAGGTCGTCATAAAGAGTAAAAAATTATGTATCAGAGATATTTTATATTCTGTTTTCAAGAAATAAATTTGATGCTAAATTGATACAAATGAAACATGGGAAAACATGAAATGGTGGAGTCTAACGCGTGAAAATTGTTGAGCAGCCACTTGTCATTTATTATCGTTAATATAAGTACAACGATTTACCATATTTAGATGCATTACTTGTTTTGGTTCATGAAACATATGACGATAACGAACAGTACTCAAGATCAAAAGTATTAAATTTCAATTCCACTTCTCCACCTTAAATAAATCATTCAAAACATATATCGAAAACAAGCAATTTAAGAAACACGTCACTGGAAGTTTGTTCTTTAATAAATATATAATCTCTGTGGAGTATGACTTTGATTGTCACAGAATAAAGATTCGTCACTCACCTTAAGTGCCGAGTTATTGTTTAATTTGAAATCCTTCAGCGGTATATGTTGACGTCTATATATGAGTGGAAAATTCTCGAATGGTACCGTAAAAGTACATCCAACATTAATCAATTGTTCTAGTGCGTTTCTCTTTTTTGTAATAATTACCTTTTTATTTAATTTAATCATTTGCATTGCCAATTTTTCATTTAAAACATTTGAAACACAGTTCTTTAATGAAATATGATAAATTGTCAGGTGTCTTTCCAAAAAACCCAACGTTTTATTACTTATAATGTTTATAGTTGTTTTGAAATATTTTTTATCAAAAGAAAACAGTCATGAACAGCTTTTGCATTTATACATAAAATTACGCGTATATTCCTTTATATGTACATATATTTACAACTATAAAAACGCAAACCATCTCATCCTCCCCATTGAATACGCAAAAGGCATTAAATGTCTGTTTTATATGCACATGTGCCTGTTGATAAACAAATAAGATAGAAAATAGTGATCAAGTTCTAAATTTCATGCTAATTGATAGCAGAGCTAACTTAATCAAAAAGTGGAATCACGTGTCATGAGGAGAAAAACCATATAGACTAGTTAAAAAACTTGCTTTGATGCCTATAAATTTTAGGTACACCGCGCTTTACAAAACAGTTACTCAAAGCACTAAATTTAATCAAAGCTAAAGATATCTTAGTAGATTTCGCCAAAATACTATACACACTAACTTAAATACATTTACATTGTCAATGGCTTGCCTCAATTAATATCTTGGTTGTAGGAAGTGCATAGCATCGCGCATCGACTCAACGGGGAGACATTACCTCAATGTGCAGGCGATTGACAATATGATAAAAAAAAAAAGTCATCACGTTTATCATAGCTTATTTTAACTCGTCATTTCATTGCCATTCTTGTTTTTATTTAATAAAAACGTCCTTATATGAAACCGATGTGCCAGACTTTGTGGTGTCTTTTAATTTAAGTTAAAAGGATGATATTAATTGAAAATTAATTGAAAACCAATATTGTTGATAAGTAATAAAATGTCAGTATATTGGCAGTTCAAATTGAAGGCCACCGCAAAAGACAGATATCTTCATAGAAATCTATTTTTAAAAATCCGCATAATATATGTTCACAGGTATAGTAGAAATAAACCCTCAAGTTTCTTATGAAAGTAGAGCAAGTTAATGCTGCAACAAAATAAAATCTATTTGCTGACATAAAACCTAGAACAGTGTACATGGATATAACAAAATAAAATCTATTTCACTACTATGAACTTAAGACGGATTTTTGATACAAAATTGTAACATTTCACATATAAGTGTCAAAATTCAGAATATTCATTTCATTACTATGAACTTAAGATATCACTTTTAATTACTGTCCTCTAAATATGATACCATTTCATAATTATGTAGAACATAATGTAATGCATATTGACATACGACAAATGCACTATAAACATTGCATATAATTTGAATTTTCATTGCAATATATACGTATTACATAAAGATTTAGATTTTAGAGGTTAACTAACATTGTCTTAAGACTGAGTTTGATAATTACAGCTTTGAAATAAGGGTACCAAGCTTGTTTGATAAATCGATTTTGCTCGATAAGCAATTTTTAGCGATTTTTTGACATAATTTTTTGCTACTTTATTCCAACTACGTGAGAATTTTTTTTACTGAAATATTTTGTTGCTAAAAGTTGTATTTATTCAAATATAAAATGAAACAAATATCAGCAAAATTTATCAAGAAATGCATGTCTGACAAGAACTTCAAATGGTATCATATATTATGGGACACTGTATCACCCCCACCCACCTCTCATATTTTTATAATGGCAAAGTCTAATTTTTGCTTTTGGAGACCCAAAATATATGTCAGATCAAAAGTAAAATTGGACGTGCATATAGACATTATGTATATAAAGAATACGGACATTATCACTATTTTTTTTTTCAATGGTACAAGAGGAGTTGCGGATATGAGATGGTTACCATTCAGTATTAAAGAAAGAATGCCAGTGTCCATGTTTTGCTATGGGAAACCGAAATTGTTTTCGGATCAAAAATTGAACTAGAAAATGCACAATGGCACCATGTAACAAATATTCTGTGAAAGTCTCATTATTTCATTCAGTGGTATAAGAGGGGTTGCGGATAATAGATTGGCTCTCCAAAGCGCGACAGATGGTAGGAAATCTCGTTCACTATACACCATCCCACTTTCAAGCGGGATCATAATTATAATAATCTTATATTATGAAAAATTAAAGTCAATTCGGTCGTGAGGTGAAAAGTTATCAATGAGGGAAAAATAAATGAGAGAAATGTTATTGCAAATTATTCCACTTGTCAAAATTCTCTTGGAAATAATAAATATTCATAGATCATCACAGTTTATCAGTCTTCCAATTTCTGAAATGAAGAAATCATCAAAGTTTCATCATTCTGATTTACAGTTGACCAGTTAGTTGTTCATCTTTTTCTTAAGTTGAAATATATGGAAATAACGAACAGAATTAAAGATCAAAATTCCATAAAACTATACAAAATAGGAGCAGAGCAAACACCGGCCTCCTCAGAGATCAGATTGGTTAACGAAATATTGAAGAAGGTCGTCGATAGATGCAGTTATTACAAAGCTGGATTTCCCCCCCCCCCCATTTTTTTGGATTGTTTTCTATCTTTTACAGGAAGTTTGATCCCCATTTAATGCACAAATAATGGGCATTCACATTATTTTATGAATTAATTTCAACATTCAAAGTGAAATACACAGTAATATCTTGATCTGCTTTTTTAAGATACTAATTTTTCGTAGAGACCTTGTGGATAACGCTCCGATAAGACTTTTAAAAATCCCCGGATAAATATGTGATTATTCAAAGAGACAGGAATCCAAAATATGCTAACGTCCGATTAATTAGCGAATTGAGTTTCTATTTTACAATACAATTGGTTTTTCAAAGACTCAGAGAATCAATTTTGATACCAAAAACTCTGAAACGATAAGTATACATAATTCTTGTATATGTCTTCTCTTCAGTAATATACATGCCTCATTCTATAAAGCTACCCATGAAACGGGAAAATATTGTAACTCTTTGTGGTGACATTTTTTATCTTCGAAATACTTGTGAATACACTGTTTAAATTCCATTCAGCTTGGGAGGATGTCCGGCAATTTGATACTAACTTTAGATCAATAGAACAAACGAATGATGGGAAAATGACAGATATAATTCGAAGGTAGATTACAGCTGTAAAGTATCATCCCTATAGTTTGCCGGAAAGGAAACACGTCGCCAATTGCATTTTTTTAATGTTACAAAGTAATGTTTCATCATAATTCAATATTGTATAATAAAACAATATTTTATGACAAAGCATTTATGAAAAAAAAAATATCAGACGTTATTTTTATTTTGCATTGTTATTTTGAAAAGTCTCCAATAACGGAAAAGTGTTTCCTTTCAACATAAGATATAAGCATAAGTTCTGGTCCCTTTACGAAGTTTAGATTTTTTTTTTTTGTTACATGATATTTAAAGTAAAGTTAGAATACACACAGTGCTATAAATAAAACAATGTATTTATTATACCTGCAGAATTTATATATCGATGTCATACAAGAATTCTGAAATATTATTTTTATAATGAGCATACTTGTTCTTTTATTCTGAGTGTGTGTTTTTATAGAAGACCGAACAATGTTGCTCTCTGAAAAAATGCAATAAATTGTTGTAGTGACTTCACAAGGATAGTCGCCTTAATTATATTTTCACACGGTTGCAAATGTTTGGAAAGTCACCTCAAATAGTATTCCGTGCATCTTGAAGTCATATGTTGTGATACTAATGTAAAATATGATTATCTTATTTATGGGATCAAATTTTAAAGTTATTGCGACTTATCCTTTATACAAAAAGCATCTTACCTTTGCTAAGCCAATGATGTTCAATTACAGTGGAAGATCCGATTAAGCATCTTCTGTTGGACGCTCAGCTTCACGTATGAATCTCTTCGCCAGCAGACGAGAGCTATATCTAACCGTAGTGATGAGTCCCCGTTGGCAAGTGACGTGCGCGCGCGATTCTTCCGCTTCAGTTCATAACCATCTTGTCAAATTCCCCACCAAAGGCAAATCGGCATGCATAATTCTCTGACCAGGAGAAAGATGCTCCTGTTAACTGTTTCGATTGCATGCCAATCTCCTGTCAAGTTTTAAGTTCCTTTGGGGACAGTGATTTTGTTTTCTAAAGCAGATTTGAAATGACTTCCACAGGATCAAAATAATGTAATAAATGCTCCTGAAATAGAGAAAATAGCCACATATCCCTGATTCAGAAAAAAAATCTCACTGATTTATTCACTGTATTTCTGGAATGGTACCCAAAATATTTATGTGTAAAACATTACATTTGATATGTTTCTGACTATGAGTTGTCCAGTGCAAAGTGCAAAGAATGCTTGAAAAAGATAGGTCTCTTATATAAGACTATATTTTAAACTTTGATTTCGTAATGTTTTACGTAATTTACCGTCCTTTAAAACAATATTCTTCTAGATATTAAAATTAAGCTAACAACTTCATCACACGACAATATAAAGTCACATTATTCAACATGTATTATTATACAAGTAAAGGAAGGACGACTACCACATTCGAAAGTACATATCAAGTTCTCGGCAAGCAAATTATGTATCTTTGAACAAATAAAACTATTCTTATCTTCTTTATTAATACCTTTTTCAAAGACTTAGGAAGGGTTATCAGAGAGTTTGTGGACTAGCGATATATAATCAAACCGCTTAAGGTACATGACTGGATTTTCACACATTAATTTTAAATATTTTTGCGTGTTTTCAGTTTAAAGTTTGAGAAACATGGTTTATTTTCAGAAAATAAGAACATTGTAAATATTTCCTTTAAAATACAACGATTTTAAACAAATTCAGATCTTACATCTGAAGATTTATCACCCCTATAAGTTCCAAGGGAAATTTGAAATCACAAGATTTTGCCAAAATCAACAGCTTAAAATTTTACGACTTTCAACTTTATACACAACCATTTCCCAAGATAAATGAAAGTCCAGGCTTTTTCATATCATTGACAGCAGCTTTTTCAATAAACGCGGAACTTGTAAATTTACACACCTTGTTATTGGTAATTTGCAAAATTATTCTGATAAAAAAAACCCATTCTGATTGTATACACAAGTACTTTGAAGTTGACATAAAAAATACTTGAGTTTCTGTTTGACAATATCTATGTGTTTCTTGAAGACCAAGTCTTCAAACAATCTATTAGAATTCCCACGCGTACCAATTGCACCCCCTTATAAGCAGACCTTTTCTGAATTCATATAAAGCAGAATTTGTGCAAAATTTTATTCGTGGTAAGAGGAAGACTTGCTGTGGCTTTCCTCTCGACATTTAGATATATCGACGACGTATTGTCAATTCACAATGGTAATTTTCATTCTTATGTCGATACGATATATCCCAGTGAGCTTGGGATAAAAGATACCACAGAGTCTGACACATCTGTTTCATATTTGGATATTTTACTTGAAAAACACGTTAAAGGCAATCTAACAGCCAAACTGTATGATAAACGTGATGATTTTAACTTTTCAATCGTCAACTTTCCTTACTAATGCAGCAATATACCTTCATCACCTGTACACGGAGTTAATATATCTCAGTTGATACCATACGCAAGAACATGCTCCACGTATGTACAATTTCTAAAACGAGGTAAGTTATTGACAAATAAGTTGATGAAGTAAGAATATCAGCAGTACCGTTTCAATTCTTCATTTTTAAGTAGTATGGTCGATACAATAACCTTGTCAGCAAATACAATTTATCATTGAGTCAAATGCTGACTTACGTTTTTCATCCTAATTGTTGGTCCATTATTTACACACTATAAGTCATTGTAACCCTTTTTTAAACGGTACAAATGAGATTAGGTCTTACAACATTCCGTTGAAATTCTCAAGGGTATCAATTGTACACCGTTGTAGCAGACCTACATGTATTGTTATAATCATATGAAACAGAATATATTCAAAAACTTCAGGAAAACACTTGCTGTGACTTTCTTCACGACATTCAGATATATCGACAACGTTTATCAAATACCAGTAACAATATACTTACTTCCATTCAATAGTCGACTTGATATTTCCAAGTGAGTTTGAAATAAAAGATTCCTTCTAGGGAATAAAAAACCGGATCTCTAAAATTCGTACATATATTGTCGGTAAGACTCTTATTAATCTTTTAAATATAACTTCAAAATACTTGTTTGTACATCCGGAATATAATTTAACAATATAATTGGCAAAATCACAAATGACAACCTTGGTATTTCCAAGCTCAATTTGTATTTAAAGAAAAAAAGCTTTTTATGATGTTAAAAAGACTAATTTATCGTGTGGAATGGTTTTATAAAGTGCTGAAAAGTCGTAGGTTTTCATGTTATTGATTTGGGGTAAAATTTTATGATTTCAAATCTTCTTAAAGTTCCTTTGGACTGTTTAAGTATCCACATCTTATTTGTACCACTTCTCTTAAAATATTCTTCTTTAGCTTCTCTGTCACTGCTATAATATTTGATTGAGAGGCGAGGAAAGAGGAAAATCTTTGTTGAACATTAACTGGAACATATGGAGATAACGAACAGTATTCAAGATCAAAATCCACAAAACAATACAAAATAGGAGCAGAGCAAACACGGACCTCCAAATATCAAAGGTGGAACAGGTGCCATGGAGAAGTGAGCATCCCCTGTTTACCCGTACACCCGCCGTGTGCTCCTTGTCATGATCGGGAAATAGCTGAAAAAATTCCTCGTCAATTGAGTGTATAAGTAATGGAATAACAATTAGTATGAAAAACGTCAGTCAGAAGCCTCTTGAATTGTACCTCTGTTTATGAGGATTTTCGAAAATAAAATTCAGGAATTAGGTATTCGTATGGTACTTCAAACTCATTTTGATCGTCCGTGATATATATTAAAGTATTTAAAGCTAACATATTGATTTAATGAATGTCCTTCTCAGAAAAAAGGATATAAGTTGAATTAACAAATGCAGAATTAAATCATATTTCCTCTAAAATACAATTACAATAAAGAACTCCACAACATGCTGGGACCAGTACAAACTGAACGTGAAATCTGTCTGAATCTTTTTTTCACTTCTAAATTACTGAAGAGAGAAGGATAGTTCGTTTTCATAAATACTGAATTGTGTATGTATTTTCTAATAATTTGAACTATCTATTTTGTCAAAGTATGTTTTGCTTTGTCTTATTTGTTGTTTATGACTTGTTTGTTTATTTTGTCATATCATGTTTTGCATTGTCTTATTTGTATGTACATATAGATATGAATTGCTTGATTATTCTGTCATTTATTTTAGTAAATAAATGACCTCTTCTATTCCTCTACTTAATGTTATGTCTTGTCTTCACTATGGAGGTTAAGTTATTCAGGTACCCATAAAGAAGCACATAGTGGATGCGACAGGTCAACAAGGGATCCTTTCTCCTCCATGGCATCTAATTATCTCTGATGTTTCTAGAAATTCATGTTGTTCTGCTCCCACTTCGTTTTCTTTCAATGTTTTTGAATCTGGTTACAGTTCATTATCTCTGTATGTCTTGATAAATTATTTTCGCAGAAAATGTACTTTGGATTTTTAAAAAATATTCTATTATTTTCAACTGGAGTTATCAGTTTTTTTTTTTTAATCTATCTTTTTCAAGTATTCATTTGGCTAACCTTATTACAGTAGCTGTACTGTATACAGCTCATGTTTTATTGCATAAAACATACATGCATTAACAAACGTCAATACTAAAAAGATATACATAGAATTAATTATAACATCCATCTTAACCATCATTTTTTAAAATTAAATTGCAGCTTGAAAGGATAGCAAATAAGATATTGATTCGATATGAACTTGAAAGAAATTGCTGCTTCAAAAATATTCCATTTTAGTAAAATATATCCAAGGGCGCCTTAATACGATATTGTACTGCTCAGCATCAGGTGGTGTGAAATCATTTAATAAGTCTTTTCATTTCTCCATTTTGATTCACGACAAGAGACTTCCGGCAAATCACTTCCACTATATACCGAGGAACTCTGAATTGATTTTTGGACATTTCTTATCAGAAAATTAACATTCTTTTATTTTTATTTCGTATTTCATGGATATATTTACTTAAAAAATCGAAAGTCTGCATCCTGGAACTGAACAAGAGGGTTCGAATGAGAGAATACCCTAACTGTTACTATCTTTAACTAATATGTAATTTCATTATTATTTTATTATCACTTTTAGCTGTTATTGTCAAAGGATAGGTGATTATTCATTAATTATGTTCAGTCAATGTGTAAAAACTATTATGTTATCAAACAAAACACCATTAATCAAAATGAAAAACGTGGTAAAATTAATCCGATCGACTCAAATTAATTTCCTCTGCACATATGTGTTGTACTGCTATTTAATTAAAGTAATTTTGACCATAATCAAATTAAATAAGCAGAAGAAACGAACACTTATTAGGAAATTGTTTGTAAAGTACATTAATTTTTCAGGTAAAAAAGGAATGTATGAAAACAAGGAGCTACACTTTATGCTTCAAGATGTTGTGCATTTTGTACATATATCATTTGTGGAGGAGAATTCTAGCATTAACAAATACTTCTGTTTACAAAGTATACAAAGATTATGGTAAACAAAGCAAAGCTGACATAAAATAATATGACGGCTGTAAAACAAGATTCACGAGGAAAACATATGAATGTGGAATAAAGAATATGAAAAAGGAATTTAACATTTGTTTTTTTTCTTTAGCATCATTATCAAGCAATTTCTCAGGAATATACCACATTTAAATAAAAACAAAAAGATAAAGTCACTTAAGATTATTTTTCTTAAACAGCATGCGTACATTTTATTCAATCAAAAAGGGAAGTTAAGAAACGTAAGACTTATTAAAGCGCAAAACAATATATATGATGCAAGTTTTAAGAAGAAATAAACGCGAAAAAAATGATGTTTCATTGGTGTAGTAGACAAGCATAGAATTATCAATTTCTTCAAACAATCTAAATATTTGAATTTCACTTTAAATAAAAGTCAAAGAACAAAGATTCCGAATAAAGAATTAAAGGAAGGCACATTTAGGATTGTTACTATTTTTACCTTCGTTATAACTCAATTTGACCAACCCTAAAATATTTGA